GAAATTCGGATGCGGTTTTTTTTATCTCATTTAACTCTGACGCTTGTTATAGGAATAACCACAATCAAGTGTAATTTATGATTTGTTCAGTTTGTGTAAATAAATGATTGCATAGTCCTTTATGAATCAACTTGAACTCYTCTGAACGTTCACTTATTGTGTCACTTTTCACTTCGCACAATCAAGATATTAACAAGTAATGAGAAATACCTTGGTAAAAGTTACCTCATAACCTTGTGTATGAGAGATGTGGGAGAAGCTTAATGGCACCTTAAGCTCCCCTCCTACATCAGTAAGCATAGAAAACATTCACTTTCATCTACAAATTCTAGTTGCCCTGTTTTTCAAATTCTCACCTGGACTCTTCACCTTCTTTCAGATTGGAACCTGGAACTCACCTGTAAATAAACAAACACTTACTTGTTTTTACTTTGTCTCAGTCTGTTTTTCTTAGCATCACTATTGTTTGACATATTTAAGTTTTACAGTTTAGAAATGTTTAGAAATTATGATTTAGTGTTAACAGAATATACTTTAGTCACTGCCTATACTTTTTGTCTTTTTACATCTTCTGTTTTTAATAAAAATTACTTAATAATTTTTATTAGTTTAACAATGTTTATTAGTTTACTAATAATAGTTCATAATTAATCATTAGTTAATTGAGATATTAATCTAATGTTCTTTGAGTTGAGTTAGTCTGCTCATAAGAGTTGGTGTGTTGTTATGATGTTCTTAACCTTGGGTCTTTATACACAAAGACACACACACGGTTCTCATGGGAGCTCGTTACACTCAGACACCTGCAAAGATAAAACACACACACACACACACACACACACACACACACACACACACACACACACACACACACACACAAAGTTCTTCCTGTTTCTATAAAACTTCTCTGTTGCTTCTTGTTCATCAGTCTTCTGCTCATCTGCTCTCCATCCCGGGGTGCTGGACGTCCCAGGCTTCTTTTCCTGTACTGGAAATCAGTCACTTTTCCAGTTCACCTTGCAACATAATTTTCTCATTTTTACAAGGACCTTATCTTTTAGGTGAAATACCATTTTTGTGCCAAGCCTTGTTCTGCCTGAAACCTGAAACCAACATCCTTGCTGTGAGCTCCTTCCTGGTCGACCTGCCGCTTTGCCGAAAGACCGAGTCCATGAGAAGTAACCTGTGTATTCACTTGTCTGACCCAGAGAGGCCCCGTGGTCTGAGCTGAGCACCAAGCATCTACCCAGAGTGCCTGGTCTTATGTGGAGAGGACAACAGTAAAGGCTGAAAGCTGGCCCATTCATCCTAGGCTCATTAGCTCACACATAAGAACATAACTTAACCTTAAAAACCTTCAGAAACTTTAAAATATTTTTGTTGTTTGTCATCTCTATCTCTTTTGCTCTCCAATTCTCTCTCTGTCTCTCCCTCCTAAACACATAATATACACACACATTGACACACACACACACACATACACAGACCCTTTTGTACAAAATTAATCTGCTTTGCTTACATACGTTGTTAGACAAATTGCTTTAAAGTACAAACAGTAACGTTTTTAGTGAGAGCCCATTTTATTCTTTGATTGTATGTAACCACATATTTCAATCATTCATTACTCTTTTAATAAAAGTCAGTTAATTTTAACTGGCCATAATAAACCTGAACGACTTTGTGTGTGTGATTGTTCGATTGATTCATTCAATAGTGAGTTGATGCTTCAACAGAACCATTACCGAGCCAGGAAGGGGAACTCTTAATTGAAAATCATATTTATGATTTTTAACGAGGGATTTCACTACAAGTTGATAAATTCATCAGTTGGATTATGTTTTATTTTATTGGTTTAGACAAAACCTATGCTGAAACCAGATTTGTTTCTTTAATCTACTTTTATTGAGGAAGTGAAAATGTAAGGTACTATTTTGCAAATGATTCTGCTGTTTTGTGTAGGTCAGTTTTTTTTCTTTGTATTCACCTTCAAAAAAGATCAGTCTAAGTTAGGGGTTAGGGATAGCGAGCCCCCACCAAGATACAAGAAGCCAGTTTGTGATAAAGTAGAGATTCTGATCTGCCCTGTACGGTCCGGGAACTGTGGTAAATGCCATTTGGTAGCACAAGTTGTGATTTAGTTGCACCACTGCATGGTGTGCAGTAAGGAGAGAAACTTGAACTGAGAAACAGTTCTGATGTATATTAATGTCCAGAGTTAGACATAAGCGGTGCACAGGTGCGCATGGGCGGTCAACAAAGGAAAAAGTGCACCAGATGTAACGTCATAAAGCTCACTTGCGTACCTAAGATTGTACCTGATTGTCTGTGAAAACAACAGCTAGCAGGGCTCTAGAGTGTGACCAATTTGGTCGCAAATGCAACCTGATTTCTTAAAAAAAAACAATAAATTCCAGCCGCACTGGTGTTACTAGATTGTTGTTCGGTGATTACAAAGCCTGACAGCGGGTCCCTGATATAAGGATTAAACGGACACTGCCTTCAACAAATCAGATGAAATCCAGAGCCATTTTATCCAATCAGAGCAGAGTAGGGTGAGACTTTCAGTGAGAGCAGTTTGGTTAAAGCAGTGGCTCGATTCCAGCAGCGGCTGCAGCGGTTGTCCTGACATCTCCTCCTGCACTTTGCTACTGAACTACCAGAGACTTTGGTCTGTAAAACCTAACTTTATATTAAAAATATGTTCAGAATGTTGTTATTGAACAGATCTGTCCAACTCTGTGTGAGTGACTAACCTCTAATTTGCATTACTTGTGTTCTGACTCCGCTCTGCTGCGCAGGTCGCAGCTGCACCATTTCAAGTCTAGTTTACACTACCTCCAGTCCGAAAGATGTGCAGGAAGCAGGTGGCGTGATAAATTCAGTGATAAGTGTTGGAGTCACAGAGAAAAATAATTAATTCTGTCAAAGAAAAACTCCAAACACAGCTGAAAACAACAATATAAAGGCTTTTGGTATCTATGTTGAAACTGTCTCGCTGTCGGCTTTCTGAAAKTTCTGATTTCAAAATAAAATCCACGTGTATCATGTGTGTACACATATGCGTCATGCTACATGTTTCCATCTGCTTCCCAAACAGAACGATACATTCTGACAGCATTTGTGTAGAAATACTGTATATCCGTATATTTATTAATATAGCCGCAATTTCAACATTATTCTGACAAATTATTCCGCCGAATAGTGTCATATTTTGAAAATATGGATGCTGTGCTTATTTCTTTTCCTGTTGGTGCGACGTAATCTTTAAAAATGGACTCCGTCGCTGCTCTGTCGTCCGGCAAAAATAGGATCTGTTCTAATTTTGACGGATCGCTGTCTGCTCACCGCCGCCATGTGCTGCCAGTGTAAACACTCTCATTGATTATGATAGGTGTGTATTTGCTGCGGAGGTCGGACCGCAGCGGAGTGGAGACGGAACGCAAGTAATGTAAAATAGGGGTAACAACCTCCTCCTGGGAGACTACTGTGACGGGAGCGTGTCGCTGCGTGTGCAGGCTGAGTCTTTCTGTGAGATTCACTGAGCTTTTCTAATTAAACCACATTAACTCTATCAGAACATTTGTTTGCCCCATATTAAAGCAAAGATGATTCTCTGTTTAACAGCGTCAAAAAAAATTAATATTAAAAAAATTAAAACAACTTGCCATGTTCTCTAGGTGAATGAGTTTTAAATGTTATTTTAATTTATCATAAAGATCCCCAAATTTCATTCACAATTTTATTAAAAAAAACAAGGTTCTTGATTTGCTAAACCTGTTTATATTTAGAACCATACTGTGACACAGCTTTTCTGGGCTAAATGTAATTTATTAAATGATCAAATACGAAGAATAAATAATTACATGAGCTGAAACATCTAAATAATATAATATTTTTGAATAAAATAGTTTTAAAAAATGAATCAGTCRAACAAATAAAACATTTGTATGTTTGAATTTATTTTACTCTGTGTAAAAGACAGATATTTGCTGGTTGGACTGGAGAGTGTGGAAAGCTGCTTTAACCAAGGCCTAAGTGAAGACCAAGCAGGAGCTGTCCATCTGAGGGACGTTAGTCTAAAAGACATTTAACCATGAAATGTTCAGTTTGTGATGTTTATATGACACACACCCAGCCCCTCGGACACTTAGTTTACAAAATTTATGCAGAGTAAAAGAATAAAATAGAAACTCGGTGGACTGATTTGGCATGATGTCTCGTGACGTTGCAGCTGATAGGAGTCATAAAACAGAACAGGGGGATGTTAAGATGCCCTGACACCCCAATAGATAAATGGGTCACTTTTGATGACAGTGGGAGTGCATTTTATAGTATTGAACAAAGTATAGGATATTTGTTGTTTCATCCTTCCTACACATACATGATTTATTTGTTTGTTTGTATTCACCCCCAATGGGCCCATAACAGACCTCCAGAGTTTGAGAGAGTTTGGTCTGTGAGATGAAAAGCTTAATGAGCTCTGTGAGGACTTGAGTAGTTGAATAAAAAACAAGTAATCAACTCAGAAGGTATGGTTTTCAGTGAGATGAATGCACTTTAAATGCTCCACTAGGTCAGACACATAAACCATTCAGATCACATAAATACTTTGCTCTTTACAAAGAGCCACCAGCACCCAGTGTTTAATAGGAGTCAACATTATATTCTAGTTAGACGAAGGGCCGTTAGATTTATGACTGCTTCCATGAATGAAACTTATGTAACACTTGGTGGTTTTGTAGAGGTGGAAAAATACAAGTACTTATATTTTGTGATCACTTTTATAATTTATGTTTTGATACTTTTTTGTAATTCCACTATAGTTTGCATTATTGTGGTTCATAAGAACCTTCATCATCCCATGTATATTTTTGTTGCTGCTTTATTATTGAATTCTGTTCTCTTCAGCACTACAGTTTACCCAAAACTTTTGATTGATTATATAACTGAAAAGCAGATCATATCACATTCAATGTGTCACTTTCAGTATTTGATATTTTACAATTTATGTGGTGCAGAATTCCTATTGTTGGCTGCCATGGCTTATGACAGATATGTGTCAATATTTAAACCTCTGCAATATCACAGTATGATGAAGAAAACTACTGTATGTGTTGTGTTGGTTATGGCTTGGCTTGTACCTTTTTGTCTGGTTGCTGGATCAACTATTCTGTCTGCTAAGCAGAAAGTTTGTAACTTTACCTTAAATGGAATTTTTTGCAATAACTCAGTTTACAAACTTCACTGTGTGACATCAAAAACTATATCTGTATACGGAGTGATCGTTGTACTTTGTGTTGTGTTTTTGCCCATGATTTATATAGTTTTCACTTATGCAAGAATACTTATAATATCCTGTTATAGTAGTAAAACTGTCAGGACAAAAGCTGCACAGACCTGTTTACCTCATTTGTTGGTTTTACTCAACTTTTCATTTTTTACTGCTTATGATGTTTCTTCGCCTAGATTAGAAACTGATATTTCAAAAACGGTTCGTTTAGTGATGACTTTACAAACTGTGTTGTATCATCCTCTGTTAAATCCAATCATATATGGACTAAAATTAAATGAAATTTCAAAACACCTTAAGAATATATTTCATCAAATAACTCGTTAATTTCATTAAGTTGTAAGTTTTACATTTTTTAAACAAGGAGTTGGTAATTTTTTCATGTTTTGTTACAAAAAGATATATTAAAAATACATTCTTTACCTCACTATACTACCTTTCTGAACAAAAATACCCTAAAACAATAATAGGATACTTAAAGTTCATAGAAAGGATACTTAAAGTTCATAGAAAAGAAAAGTTTTTGTTTATGTCATCTCTTTGTATTTCCACTTTTTTTGCAAAGTTAATGTACACCAACTCACTAAAAATATTTTTCAGCTTAAACTTGGAAGTCATCAAATCAAAATGGGATGCTTCTTGCAACACCAGATGTTTACATTCAGATGAAAATAAGAAGAAATCTTTAAATAAATTACTACAATTACCTAAAATAGTTTTTAAAATGTAATTTTCAAAGTTTTGTTGGCAATACCTGCATCAATAAAAGTACTGTATTGGAATGACCTTATTTTTGTATCATGTTTTTGATCTGAGTTTGTTTTACAGAATGAAATGTCTGAATGAGTGCTCATCTAAGACTGATGATTCCAGATTTTTTACCAGGGGTTTTATAACATTCACATATCAGTGTCTAAACAGGTCAGTACACTTCCACCTCTGTACTGGAAGTGGCGCTGTGCCAATCAGATCAACCATAATTTATCCAGGCTAATGGATATTGTTTGAGTGAAGGAACATGAAAACAAATGCACACATGCTGCAGTCCACGTTATTTCAACAGAGGAGGGGAGAGGAGAGAAAAAAGAAAAGTGAGTGAGCTGCTTTGTCTGCAATCATAAAAGAAAAAGCGCACCAGTTGGAATGTTATAAAGCTCACCTGAGTACCTAAGATTGTACCTGAACAACAGCTAGCAGGGCTCTAGAGTGCGACCAGTTTGGTCACAAATGTGACTTGATTTCTTTAAAAAATAAAATAAAAAATCCAGCCACACTGGTGTGACTGGATCAATGGGCCTCATGTAAGAACCGTTGGTACGCACAGATTTGTTCTTAAGTTGTGCGTACGAGTGATTTAGGAGAATTTGTGACATTCACCAACGTTTTCATATTCTAAGATTTTTTTCAGATACGAACAAAATTCAGGAGTGGTCCAGACCTGTCGTATATTTTACCAGCAGTCAGTCTGCTGTTATCCAGACGGGTTTTCTTCACTAATAACTTTATATTTCATTAGTTTGAAGATATTTCAAGTTGAAAATAAATCACACGCCATAATTTTGTTGACAATAGTTTATTCTGCTTGAAATAGAATTATAATTTTAAAAATAATAATGTAGAGTAACAA